CCGTCGGGATGGAAGCGGTCGCCGGCGCTGTGCTGAGGCGAGGGGTCGCGTTCTGAGGCGTGTTCTTTGTCTCTGCAGTTCTTGAAGAACAAGATGGGAAAGGCCGAGAAGGCTGCCGTCCCCTACGGGCAGCCTGTTCACGGTCTGCACCTGTGTGAGCAACCAAAGATGAGCAGACAGAAGAGTAGATGTAACATGCCGCTGACAAAGATCGCCTCGGCGAGAAAGGTAGAGAGCTTCTGGCAAGATTCGGTATCGCCAGAAGTAATTCAGAAGCAGGAGAAAAAGCCACTTAAAAACACAGAGAACTTCAGAAATGCCAAGTCCAAGAAACCCATCACCCTGACTGAAGCGAACCAAAAAGAAAATTACGCTGGGGCAAAATTCAGTGACCCACCGTCTCCTAGTGTCCTTCCGAAGCCGCCCAGCCACTGGGTGGGCGGCACAGCTGAACCGTCTGACCAAAACAGGGAGTTAATGGCAGTCCATTTGAAAACTCTCCTAAAAGTCCAAGCGTAGCTTCCAGTATCTCTTGAGCAATTTTCCAAGCAACTCCATCCAGGAAACTCAAACATGCCTTGTTGCAACAAAAATTGCAAAAGACTGTCAAGTCTTATAATCACATTAAAAAAAAAAAAATCCTTGTATTATATTTTTTATGGTTGTGTAAATAGTGTACATCATGTATTATGTGTATATTCTTGTTCATACTTTGAGAGGTACATTTTAGTTTTGTTATGAAAGGATGTATTTTGCACTGCCTGAATGGTAGATGTCTTGTATATAAAACATGGACAGTTCTTAAGTGTGTGCTTGACACATGAAGACTTGACTTGATTTGCACAAGGTAATGAAAATTTTGAAAGGAGAGTACAGCTTTCTGGTTTTAAGGTTCCAAATCAAATGTGAATGTTCTATTCATGCACTACTGACAACAGTTTTACATTCTGTGTCCCACAGAGGTCCCTTCCAACCCCGAACATTCTGTGATAAACTTAGAATTTTCATACAAATGTGAAGTGTTGCTCTCTGCTCTGGAAACAGTATCTGGAATTCCTGTTTTGTCTGTTTGTTTTAAAATTAACTGGAATTTGAGTAAAATTCCAACCCATCAACTTGAGCACTGCTGATTTCTTTAAAGAGAAAAAAAAAAAAAAGGGAGCAGAGCTTTCTGCCAAAAATCCAATTGGTCACTAAAAAATTAAATAAAACAATTTGGCCTCCCCTTAAGCATGTCTCCGTTTTTCTTTTCTCTGTGTGGGTGTCTGTTAAGTAAATGAACTTAAATTTCTTGACTGCCTGCTAGTGCCTCAGTAGGAATATTTTGTCCTTCTCAGCCTTTAACTGTCCAAGTAATATTTGATAGCTTGTTAAGAATTTCATGTGTTTTTAAAAAATATTTGCTTTCTGATACACCATTTTTGGTTCCTTACCCTTTCGTTTCCTGAAAATTCAAGATTTCAAGAAAGTTGGACAACTGCACATTCAAGTGTACATTGCAATGCTCCTTAACTGTTTTCATAGTGAGTGGTTATTAAACCAGTTGATACTGAAAAGTAGCGATGACAGAAGAGTGTGGGTGGGGCTAGTTAAACTTTGTGTTGCTCACCAAATTTGTCTCTTGCTGATGGCTGCGCTGAAAATCACATTCCTCTGGTCTAAAATTCTTATGGAAGTGGAGTGCAGATTAGTCCGAGAGGCATGTTGAGGAGGTAACAGATTTGTGATTATTTCACTAATCTGGTATATGAGATTAATAAAGCAGGAAATAGTAAAATTTATGTAAGATAGAAAAGCATTTTTAAGATTCTGGATCTACTGGAAAAAATAAATACTTTCTGGGCACTAGTGTACTCGGAAGGATATGTGGGAAGCAAAGGCTGGCAGCAGGGTCCCAGATGCGGCGGTTCCCTAGCGTGGGTGGTTCCAGAGATTTGGAGTGAGCAGTGTTAGCTGTACTCATGCCACGTGCGCTGCTGCTCCCCTGTGTTGCATCGCTTTGTTCCGCCCGTCTGGACTGGCAGTATTCATTAACACAGCCCTGGAGTGAGATTGGTTAAAAACTACAGGAGAATTTCTTTGCTTTGTTTATAGAAATTGACTGAAATTTTTGGTTCGCCCCAAAGACTTCCAGGTTCCCTGCCTGGCGAAATAGACCTGTATTACTTGATTAATAACGGGACATAGTCGAGGTAATAGTGTGGCTTCAGCAGCCTGGTTTGCTGCCTGATCTAAATACTCCACAATTTAGTGTGTCCTAGCTTGTCTTCTAGAAATGAACAAAATTCCTCCTTTTTTTAATTTCTTAATAAACGGTATTAGGTCAAAGAAAAATTTTAGTAGAGTCTCGCTAAGGATGACTCAAGCAGACCGTAAGTCCCAGTTTACTACATTAGGTACATGTTGTATTGATCTGCTGTGGAGCTTTTAATTTTTTCTTTCACCTGAACATCATCAAGCGCAAAGGAAAATGCCTTTAGCAATTCCCCGTAGCTTTAGGCAATGGTTAATTTTGTCGGTTGAACTTGTGATTGTCTTTAATCTTGATAAGTACCTTGACAAGAGCGAGTTTCCATCAGCCATGTAGGTTGGCATTATTTAACAGGAGATACCCTTTTTTCCCCTGATCGTTATCTCTGTCACTGTCAGCCTCTTTTCTTCTCTGCCCCTTGGAGCTGATGTTAAATTGCATAGTTTGAATGCTAACTCTGATCCTACATAAAATACACCAATGTAACGTACCTCTGTTTCTACCCTGATTCGCTGTCACGTCCCTGGGGATTACAGAATTCATTAGATGTAAGTGCCGATAGTTCTCGGCTCCTGAGCCAATTCTTTTAAAGCTGTTGGGTGAGACTTTGGAAGTCTTGAAAATTTAAAACTTCCCGTACCTTGTTGGACCGTAAAGGTTATCAGGGTAAAAGAACAACGTTTCATCTGATCTTTCCAAACAGTGCCCCCCCCCCAAAAAAGCTTATTTAGCTTACTTCTGCATCAGTATCGCTGGTCCTGTTGGGATCTGGCTGAAGTGTTGAGGCGTCTCATGTTTGTGTCTTCTTAATATCTTTGGGTTGAGTCCCTTCCTGGCCAATGGACTGCGTTATAAAACTTGGCCTGCGTGCATTACACACTTCAACAAGATCGTCGAAAAATCAGGACATCGTCACCTCTTAGGACCATATTCTGCACTTAAATTGTCACTTTCCCACGTTTTTTTCTTTTATCCTTCTACAGTGTTTTCTTACAGGGATTTTCACTTGCAAGGTTTCCTTCACATTGACAGATTTCTCATCCCAGTGCCCTGAAGGCAAGGCATGGTATTACATGAACATACAATTGTTTTGAGTTTAGAGCCAGTAAATTAAAGAAAAACATGAGTGTCATGTTTGGAGGACTTCTTTGCAGTAACATGGCAGAAAGTCTTTTGAAGTGAACAGCCTTTAAGGAAGAAAATGAACAAACTGAGTGGGCATGTTATCATCACCTGGTCATGTGTCTGCTGCACAGGAATTCAACAAATTGCTCATTACATCTTCTGAGTTCAGTCAGAGTAAGGAAACCGAACAGACTGCATTTTGGCGAGATAATGACAGTCTGTTCTGTTTAAAATCATCTTCAGTGCAATGCTGTGCAGAACTGCAGGGGAATCAACTGGGCGAGTTAACTACCAGCTTGCTTTTAAACAGTTAAATGTCACGTGGTGATGGTCCTGCAAAATTGGCTTTCATGGAGCCCAGAAGTGTCTGTTGTTGGGTTTTCATGCGTGGCTGAGTTTCAGCCCATCAGACAGCTTCGTTAATAACGGCTGGCTTGGTGCTCTGCTAAAGCAAAGATGCCTCTGTCCCCTCACGCAACAGGAGCTGGGAATCCCGTGTGCATTCGAATGCCTTAACACCAGGATCCCTGCAGAGATGCTGCTAAAGTAGTCTGCGTATGAGGCTGCAACTTCTTCCATAAATTGAATTTTATTTCAGCTGATTAATATTTTATCCAGGTAGTGTCATTTTAAGCAGATCTTGTAATTATTTTCAGAGGGTATTTTTTCAGCTTTTGCATTATAAAGCATTTGATATCTGCCACGCTTCAGGATTTTCTTCTGCTTTACCCAGTTTTGAGATCAAATATGAAGCCTATAAATTGTATGAAGCCTGAAGATTACAGATTGGTTTTCATTGTAATTTTGGAAATAAGTTTGCCTTTATTTCTGCATAGAAAGTCTTGATACTTCCATCATGCAGCTGAAACACATTCCTTATTTTCTTCTACAACCTCTTGCTCTCTTTGAATTTTTTTTTGCAACGTGTTAATTTTTTTTTTTTTTCAAAATGTGTGCCTGCCTTCCTGAACTATTTAAGGGGAATTATTTTCTGCTGTAATTTCTAAGAAGGTTTTATGTTATGAATAGGCTGGTCCTTACCCTAAAGAGGCTACGAGGTAAGCAGGTAAGAGAGAAAGGTTGTAAAATGTTAACATTTACTGTGGAAAAACTGATGCTACCTTGTTGAACAGGAACCACTGTTAAAAATTTTTGATAGCAGGAAATGTTTAGTTGCTGATTCTGTCGAAAAGATTAATGAAGGCAACATCCATCAATTAAGGAGAAATACATTATCCAGTAAAAGGACCTAACTGCTGAAGTTGAGCAGCAGAATGTTACCAGCAACGTAGAAAGCTGTGAACTTTTTGTTTTGCATTCGGAGTGGAGCAGAATGTTATTAGAGCTACGACAGGAGGGTCAAGAATTCAGCTGAGTATGAAAAAACAATCCTCGGGAATTAATCTGGACAGCAAACACATCCTCGCAGAGGTACTTCTTCCCCTGTGCTGAAGTCAGCATTCCTCTCTTTTCCCATGAGGTGATAAAATCTCACTTACTCAGCTCCCAGAACGCAGGACCACCCTTAGATTTTTACAAAGCCCTGACTCTGTTGGAAGCGCTGCATCGGTACTGGAGTTTAACATTAGTCTAGTGATGTTACTACAAGTAGCACGTATTCAGGTGCGTGTGTGGCAGATGCGGTCACTTAGTCCGAGGGGTTCATAAACCCTTGTCTTTAGTCTGAGAATTGCCCTGGGGTTGTGTGTACTGAACGCGGTAGGGTGCCGCTGGTGAGCAAACTGGGGTGGCTGCTGAAATCTATACCAGAAGGAGGAAGTATTTTGGGATCAAGGACTTTTCTTGTGTTTATAGGACTTCCCTAAGTATTTTGTTGTAGTTCAGATTATGACTGACTGTATTTCAAGAAGTGGTGTAATCATCATTGCCATTTTGCCATTCTTAAGGTCATGAAGCATAAAGTTTTGAGGAGATGCTATTTCTTTGAAAGATGTCATTTTCTCCTTTAATGAAGCAGTGTGCTTTCATCAGGTAAGCCTATGAACATTAATTTGCAAAAGTCCTTGTAAGCGGTGACGGCAATGGCCATCAAAATGCAATTTACTTTGGTTTTTATTCCCTGAAACAAGGCCTAGACCTACATTCATTAAAGGGCTTAGTATATAGAGTCAGGCCTTTCTCCTGTTTGCTCTCATCACCCGAATCTTGCGTTCTCTATTGCCTGGTGACATAGCTGCATGAGAAAGAATAAGGTGCACGCTTACTTAAAATAATGTATAGCTTGAGATCTGTAATTTGCCTATATGTATATATATAGCATGAAGCCTTTGTTAGTTGCATTTTGTAGCATCAGAATATTCAGAAATTGCATGTTGTCATGTTTAGAATATCAATAGGTCATTGTAGGAATTAATACAGTAGTCAATTGATAGACCTTGTCCAAATTTTAGACATTGTTTGTAGGCAAGAACCAAAGAAAGTGCTGATAGATTTTTGTACTAGGAGTGATAAAAAATAATTGACAGGTACAAAAAAACCTTGAAAACCAAGGTCAACTAAGAGGTAAGGGAAGCAGCATAGATGTCACCATTGAATTGTGTGGGAAGGAAAGATACTGCAAGAAAAAAATTATCTCCCAAAGTGTCTGACGTTACTGCAAATTTAGGGAATTTTACTGACCAGATGAAATGCAATTTGCCACCAATTCTTGACTGGGACCGTCTGGGGAAAGACAGTATGGGCTGGCAGGTCTTGTGACTGACTTTTGCTCTGTCTGCTCAGTACCTGTTGTTCATGACTAGAAATTGCACCTTGGCAC